CACTATAACTTTACTGATGACATTTATGAGCAGCCATGTTAGATTTACATGTGCGCATCGGAACAACTAACACAATAACACGCGTTATGGCGACAGGAATATTAGGGATTAATGGAAATCAGGCGCGAGAAACAAATCATGAAAACACATTGTTAACATTTTTCTTTAATAAATTCTATGCGCAACTACACTGTCAAATACAAATATAGAAAATTATATATATATATGTCGGAGATGAAAGGAACACCGGAGCCTTCCCTCTGCAATTTTGCGCGTGAATATATTCTCCGTTTTGTAAAACAATGTCTAATTCAAACGAAGAATCATTACGCGCCTTAAATCCTAATGATAACCCGACATATATGTGTGTGTGTGTGTGTGTGCGTGCGCGCGCGTGCGTGTGTGCGTGTGTGCGTGTGTGCGCGCGTGTGTGCGTGTGCGTGTGTGCGTGTGTGCGCGCGTGTGTGTGTGTATGTTTTATATTATCGAACACTCTATAAAATAAACTACTCAAAACAATAAATAACGCTATCGAAGAATTACAAAACATTAGTCATATTAAAGTGACACACAATATAAATATATATATATATATGTATATTCGCACGAACAATACTATTGTCACTTTAAAGTAATAATAATAACAATATTAATAAATAAATGTACTAATTGCGGTAGAATAAGGAAAAGCGAGCGACAGACGGAAAATTACTTCGATATCAAACAAAACTAAAGACCCGCCACTATAACTTTACTGATGACATTTATGAGCAGCCATGTTAGATTTACACGTGAGCATCGGAACAACTAACACAATAACACACGTTATGGCGACAGGGATATTAGGGATTAATGGAAATCAGGCGCGAGAAACAAATAAATTCTATGCGCAACTACACTGTCAAATGCAAATGTAGAAAAATATATATATATATACATATAATTAATTTAAAAAAGGGGGAAATATAAAATTAAATAAATACACATATATTTAACAAACAGAAAATAGATAACCTTACACTATCACATTTAAAATGTATATATATTGAACATAAAAACAAAATACATCTAAAAAAATAATAATAATAAGGAAACCACGATTATCAAACAGCGAAATTGAAGCAGCTACACCAAATCAAAATCGAAGCAAGGAGCTCCAGGACAAAGTTCGCTGAACTCACGCGTACATCAATAACGGACAACAGGGGAAATTCCCTTTCTCCCAGAAGCATGGTGACGAAGATGTGCCTCCAAAACCTCTCCGGGAATTTCATTTGCAAAACGAACTTTTACACAACGATCGGTATCAACGACTTCAACCAGAGGGGGTTCCCACTCCAATACGACGGTCTCTGCATCGAAGAAACTCTCATCGACAGTAACAAAATTGTCAAAGCTCAATTCCGACGGGAAATCCACGGCCTCGGCACCAATGTCGAATAGTTCCTCCGACCACTCTGGTACTTGTGGTTCATCACAGCGTCGCATGCGTTTGATGGGTCTTCTCGAGTCGCCCATGGGTTCTTCGGAATCCCTCTTTCGCTTGCGCTGAAACAACACAATATAGTTTAACTAGAACGAAACAGGACCAATCAAGCGAACTAAAAACAAGACTAAATACGCACCAGAGAAGTCTGGATAGGAACCTCTGATGGAAATGCCTCCGCAAACATTGGTCGAACGTCGATCACCGAAACCTAGGGAAACAACAAGAAAAGGAAAACATCAAAATCGCAAAAACAATCATAAGCGTACCCCCAGCGGACCACCACCCCGTGGGGGATGGCATTATAAATAAGGTTGTGGGAGAGCAACGGAATTGCGCGTGTTGCCCGAGCAAACATCGAAATGATAATGATGCTTCAGCCGCCAGCCCTTGCACGCGCAGAAGAAACACGGGTAATTCCCACGGTACCAACGTGGAAGTTTCTCGAAGACTAGATCAGCGTGGAAGGCTCCAAGTCTCCTAGACGCTAGCTCAGCAGAAGCACAGGACCGATGGGAACTAAGTCGAAACATGGAACTTAAATTCTCTCACGTACGATTTCAAGAAATCCAAACTGCAACATCCCGATTCCCACGGAGGCGTACCCCCAGTGTACCACCACCCCGTGGGGGATGGCATTATAAATAAGCGTAGCAACATAAAGCAGTGCTCATTATTATTACGTTGCGTATCGCGCTCATTATTATTACTCGTATTATTATTACGTTGCGTATCGCGCTCATTTTTATTACGGCTCATTATTATTTACGTACCATATTGTGCTCTTTACGCTCCTTATAACGTTCGTTATTGCGTTCATCATTACGTTTAGAAATTTTGTATAATATTTTGCGTTTCGGGGTCTTTAGTTGTTCAGGCAAGAAAAGAGAGTCGCGACTAAGTAAAAAAAAAAATTTATCTTTGAAGTTCTCATTTCATCGCTTAGACAAAAAAAGCGCATTGTAATTGCGGTATTAATTCGGTTAGTAAATTGTTCAGCCTGTAGTGAAATATATAAATAAAGTAAAAGTTGATAATAAACTATATCCGAGTTCAAGTAATAAACCCAACAAAACACCGACGACCACCGGGGCAGCTGAGGTAATGGCACCAGACAGCACCTACTCCTCAAAGTAAGAAAATTAATTTTGAAAAATTTCCTTCTTCTCTGGTAATTTCGTTGCCCTCGAGAATCGAACTAGAACTACCTATCACCGATCTCGTTTTATTTCCGTGAACGGTTTGAAGATAGAATCATTGTTTTAAACTTTAAACAAAGGGGTTGTCCGCTGTGTCGGCTTGTGCAAGCGGTGTTTTCAGCTACTGAAACACCCACTGATCTTCGCATTCCTCCTCCCATTGTTGGCAAAATATTGCCCGTCTTTGGGCAAGGCTTGCGAAATCACACAAGTCCCGCACAGAGAGGATCGTTAGAATCATCCTCGATTATTAAACTCAAAAGGCAAGAAGATCGTGACAATAGAATCCATCGTAGCAAATGAACTGAGCTTCGGTCATAACGACATACTACTATGGCGAAATTAAAAGAGGAGAAGAAGACAAACGTAAAAATAAATTTATATCAAACAACGAAAAATTTCACATTCCTATCCAATCCTATTTTTCGCTATTGTCGTTAATGTGTTTTCGTCCATCATTCCCAGGATATTTACTGTTCCAGGGACGATTGTTTTTCCTGTCGCTCCTCTTGCCAATGTGTTCAAGACTGCAGTTTTTTCTGCCGGGAACATGACGTGGTCCCGTAGTGCGTCCAGGTCCTTTTGGGTATATATTCCGCTCGTCGCCAACGACGATGCTGCTGAGTATCGCCACGTTTGGCGCACGTTCGGGCGGAGTTCCTGTGGTGCGATTGTTTCCATGGGTTTTGGTACGAATTTGTGCCAGAGTCCGTCGATGTTGTATAGCGTGGGTAAGTACTGCGCTACATTCTCTATGGTTTCCGTGTTGCGTTAGGATGTGTGTTTTTGGTGTTAAAAATGCGATGCGATTCCCTTGCCAAACGGGTAGCGCCGAGTAGCATTCTGTTGTATGTCGTACCTTTACTTGTACCGGAATGCATTTGACTATATGGACCGCTTCTCTTGCGATCAGAGCCATGTGTCCTGGGGTTTTGGTTATGGTGTATGCAAATTCGTCGGGCAGTAAGATTGCTAAGCTTAAAACATTCTCTATTAGTTTCTTCTGTGTGGTGCATCTTTGTGTCAGTATATCATGGTATAATTTTGTCATTTGTCGTTTTACTCTCGAATTTATCAGAAATAAGAATAACCTTTTATTATTATTAATATATATATAAAAAAACAAAATTTTTATATTTATATATATATATTATATTATTTTTTTTCTCTCTTTTTTTTCCTCTCTTTTTTGTTATTATTATTAAAACTTTTGTTTTATTTTAGGTTTTACGTACATGTTATCAGTGAAAATAAATATTATGAATCCTACTTGGGTTATAATTATATACATATATGCATACGTGTAGTATCGTGGATGAAAGGCCTAAGAGATATCGGGTGAA